GCTGCACGTTGTATCCCAATTTTCACCAAATTGACCTTTTATTCTTCCATTAACAACGACTTATCAGCACACCAGTTTCGTAAAAGGTGGCTGGCAACAGTTTCCAAAAATTATTTTTACAACACTATTTACACTTTACTGTTGCAGTTCAGGATCTTAAAGCTGGCTCAGTCCTGGAAGACGATGCGTAGACTGTTAGCAACAATAGCCAACAGCGTCGGACCAATCGGAAACATCACTCTCATCCTGGGTCTTGTGATCTACATCTTTGCTCTGATGGGAATGAAAATGTTTGGCAAATCCTACACACCAGATAAGTTTGAGCCAGATGAAGTCCCTCGCTGGAATTTCAATGACTTTTGGCACGCTTTCATGATGGTGTTCAGAGTGTTGTGTGGGGAATGGATCGAGCCCCTCTGGGATTGCATGAGGGCCACAGAAAGTCCCGCCGCTGCGATACTTTTTTTCATTCCAGCAGTTGTCATAGGAAATTTTGTTGTAAGTCGTATGGTGAATGATACTCAAAGAAATGTACTAAGAATACACCAAACATTCGCTTCCAGCACTACGGAAGCCTGATAAGACGGGGGGGCTGATAAATCCTGAAACTGAAAGTCGCTTAATTTTTTGCCCGCAAAAATGAATATCCACGAAATTAAACTCTCGCAAGCATCTAATGTCACAAGGTATTTTACCACTTAATTAATTTTGGTTCATCACACGTGATTATTAAAAGAGCATCATGGTAACTGCTGACCGAATTGTCACAAACGGTTACATTAAATTTAGGCCCGCAAGTTTCAAAGGATTCTTTCACCTGTTTACTAATTTAACTGTAACTTTTGTTTCTAAAAGTTAGTAACAGCTAGAACGTTTTCGCAAGTACAGTGAAACCTCTATTGAGCGGGCCCCCAATTAAGCAGACACCCTCTATTAAGCGGACACTAAGCCGGGTCTCGAGACGAGCGTCTTAGATTTCCCTTTATAACGAACCCCTATTCAGCGGACACCTCTATTAAGCGGACAAAGACACTAAAATAAATTGTATCTGGCTAATTTCTATTGTTAAAAACCTCTATCAAGCGCCCACCGGACTGAATTGACAATAGTAGTATTGGATTACGTCCTTGAACTACGTATTGAAGTCAGTTAATGTTCTTTGCATTTACAAACAAATTAAAGTTGGTAATGAAAGGTAATGAACTTGAACTCTGATAGCAGTTCTTTAACAACATGTAACTTTATCACAGTACAGAGTAACAGTTGACTGTTGATCGTTTTGAAGGTGTCCGCTTAATAGAGGTTTCACTGTAATTCATTTTCTTCCTTTTTTGGTTTATTTCTCAGGTACTTAACCTTTTTCTGGCTCTTCTTTTGAACGCTTTTGATAACGGTGATGAGGATGATGAAGAAGAGGAAAACGACGATGACAACGAAGAACCCATATTTAAAAAATTCCTCGCTAAGTTAACTCAGACAAACAAAACAGTGATCCCGGTAACTGATTTCTCTTTTCGTCCGGAAACTTGCTCTTCTTCGCAAGACATACAAACGATTGTAAAAGACAACGAAGGCAAGAACTCAGGGAAATCTGCCTGTAGAGCAGTAGGTATGTAATATTTATTATACCATATTTTTGTTGAGGTTTTAAGTAGTATAGTAGGAATGAAATATATCCGTTTCTTGACAACTACCGGATTCTTAATTCCTTACTGTTACATGATTAGACTCTGGGCGATCGGATATTTTCCCTTGCTTGTTATGTAATTGCAGCCATGATAGTACAGCCTAATCACTGCGTTGCTATTTGATTCTGACACTTTTTAAGTTCGATGAAGTGGAGGAAATTGAAACTAGGAAATTCTGGAGCAAACCCTTCGTTTGGAAAAAAGGTGGGCGTTGCTCCTATGCTCTAGAGTACTGCAGGTCCTTGGGATTATGTCACGATAAAAGTTTTCTCTCTCAAGTAAGAGAAAAGTACCTCTTGCAGTTCACCCATCTGCTGATCAATGTGGAACCCCAATCATCATATTGCAAAACAAGCAACATCATTGAATTCAGTCTGTGTATGTGCTGTATTTCAGTTAACATTAACCCCGGAAGTCGTCAAATGCAAGACCTATCACAAGCCGCAGAAGTTGAGGACTGTTTTCCAGAATGCTGTGTTTCTCCTCTCACCAGCTGCGCCTGTTGTAAGACTTTTAGGAGTGACAGGTGGCTGAAGTTTCGCTGGCGCACGCGAATGCTGGTGGAGCACAGATACTTTGAGTGGTTTATTCTTTTCACTGTGCTGTTAAGCAGTTTTGTATTGGTGAGTGACTTTTCCTAGTACGCTCATCATGTTTTCATGTCATTTTTTAAAGCTATTTTACCATCTCGCATTCTGACTCTCTTCCAAATTAGAGACAACTGCAAAATTCACAACTCTCCTCTCCCCTGCCTACCCAACCTTGAATTGGCTTGATATTAAAAAGCCGTACTATTTTGTATCTTTTGCCTCAAGGTCTTTGAAGATGTAAACCTTCCGAGCAAGCCCATGCTTGAAAAAGTGCTGGATGCCTTGAATTATCTGTTTGCTTTTACCTTCGCTGTAGAGTTTGTTCTTAAAATTATTGGCTTGGGAATAGTTCGCTATTTTTCTTCTTGCTGGAATTGCCTGGATGCGCTGATAGTTGTGGTAAGTACTGCTGTCTTTCAGTATCCTTTACAGGAAGTGTTTATTACAAGCTACACAAAGATATGTCGATTCCCTCCTTACTTAAGTGCGAGGACTATGCATGGCGACCACCTGATCTAATCAGCCTGATGAGCCGACCATTTTTTGGTCTCAGTATTTGAGATAAGCCCTCAATGTTTTGTATGAGAGAAGCTTGTATCGCCAAAATTAAAAAGAACAGTCTTAACTTTTTCGCAGTAGCTTTATTTGCAATGTGGTAAGTACTTGATCAAGTGTCGTCCTTAGCGGGATAAGTGTAGTTTCCACTAAACGAGATTCATTTCTAGACTGGACTTCTTCTTCTTTTGAATTAAATTTCAGATTTCACTGGTTTGCGTGTTTCTAGACACCGATTTAACATTCGTTCGCTCCTTACGAACAGTAAGAGCTTTGAGACCTTTAAGAGCAGTGTCTCGCTTGGAGGGTATGAAGGTAAGACTGACCTGCGTCGTAGAGCGGGAATAAAACTAATCATTTGAGGCTTTGCGAGAGACTGAGTAGGGTGTTGCGTCAAATTATGAGAGTGTTTCTGGGATGCATTTGGACGCAGTTTTCTACCCAAATGTCCCCAAAATAGTCGTAGGCAGTAAACATTCTCTACGTACTTGAGCGAAACATAAAAGTAACCACTATAAACATTTCAGAAAGGTTTAAGTAACATAGCAGTTAGAGAAGAAGGAACAGAGGAACGAAATCAAAAACGATTAATCCATAGAGGTTCTGTTGAATTTTATCGATGAATCATGGCCTAAGAATTTTTAGAAGCTGTTGTTTGAAATTTTAAGTATCGCTTGGGAGACACTTGTTCGTCATGAAGCTGTAATTCTGTAGTTTACAGGTAACATTTCCGTTAACGTCAAGTTCCATAGCTAGTTATTGGCAAAAGCTGAAGGAATGGACTAGATTGCCGTAACCCACCTCTTACTTCCCTACCTTGGGCAAGTCCTGCAGCGTTTCATTGGTAATTAAACTTCTAAGCACGAGGCCATGACTTTGATTAGAAACCTTCACCCCTCAGCTAATCACCTTTTTTTTCTTCTTTAAGGTAGTGGTAAATGCGCTATTTTCCGCCATCCCAGGAATCGGCAACGTCCTGTTGGTGTCTATCTTGTTCTGGTTAATATTCAGTATTCTAGGCGTTCAGCTTTTTGCGGGAAAGTTCTACAAATGTGTGGACCCTGACGGCGAGCGTGCATCGGCAGATGTTGTGCCTAACAAAACAGAGTGCCTCAAACGTCCAGGTTATCGATGGATAAATTCAAATGTAAACTTTGATAACGTCATTAACGGATTCTTGGCTTTATTTCAAGTAGTAAGTATTCAAGCACTACTTTCGAGCTTTGAAGGTAAATTTCACCTATTTTACACTGACTCTTAAAAAAAGATTATCAAACTCCAAACTTTCCCGTCGATTATTTTGACTATTTATTGTACCCTGTATCATAGGCTACATTTGAAGGTTGGATGGAGCTGATGGAAGATGCAGTGGATTCGAAAGAGGTTACTTGAAATTTTATGTGTCACGATCTATTTTACTGTAAATCCCTTGTCCATTTCTGGATTGCGACCCTTGAGATTGTGTCACCTTTTAAGTGCGCCGAATTCTAGAAGCACTGAAGAAAATAATAAAGCCAGCCACGGGGCTAGACAGAGTCAAAAGAAGATGATGGACCCACTCTTTTCTCTTAAGGAAATTCGGCGATCTTGACATGTATGCCTAAGGGCCTGTTTACATGGTGGTGGGGACCCCAGATTGATGAGGTAACATGTATTGCGGCTACCCCACATAGCTTGTAAACGTGATCAAATTAAAAGGAGAGATTATATGGACAGGCGGGTTACCTCACCCATCTCACTTATGTCCAGATATGCATGCAATGGCGATAATGGCGAAAATCGCCAGACAACTGGCGATTCAAATTGGATGAAACTTGGAGAGTGGGGATTTTGATGAAAATGGCAGAAATGGCGAAAAATCGCCAGAGGGCTGGCGAGTTTATGGTAATTGTCTTTGTTTGTCTTGTCCCAGTGTGTATCTTGCTCACGAGCATGCATGGTTTTGTACCATGTAAATGATTAGCTGCAAAAGGCCTATTCTACCTCTAGACATCAAATGAAAAAAATATTTTTCCTTCTTTTCTGCTGTTTTTTTCTCTTAGGTGGATGAACAACCTGAGGACGAAAGTTATCTTGGGGCCTATATTTACTTTGTCATCTTCATAGTTCTTGGTGCCTTCTTTGTCCTGAACTTATTTGTTGGAGTCATAATTGACAACTTTAACAAAGCTTAGTGGATACAGGGCTTGAGTTAGCGGACTTCAAGGAATCCTCTGGAACAAGTGTCTTTAGAACATTTCGCCTGGTAATAGATATATAAATACTTCAGTTTAGAGTTCAGTAAATAAGTGAAAAAAACAAACTTTGTCATTTTAACTTTCGCAGTGCTGCACGTTGTATCCCAATTTTCACCAAATTGACCTTTCACCCCTCCACTAACAACGACTTATCAGCGCACCAGTTTCGTAAAAGGTGGCTGGCAACAGTTCGCAAAGTTGTTTTTACAATACTATTTCCACTTTATTGTTGCAGTTCAGGATCTTAAAGCTGGCTCAGTCCTGGAAGACGATGCGTAGACTGTTGGCAACGATAGCCAACAGCGTCGGACCAATCGGAAACATCACTCTCATCCTCGGTCTTGTGATCTACATCTTTGCTCTGATGGGAATGAAAATGTTTGGCAAATCCTACACACCAGACAAGTTTCAGCCAGATGAAGTCCCTCGCTGGAATTTCAATGACTTTTGGCACGCGTTCATGATGGTGTTCAGAGTGTTGTGTGGGGAATGGATCGAGCCCCTCTGGGATTGCATGAGGGCCACAGAAAGTCCCGCCGCTGCGATACTTTTTTTCATTCCAGCGGTTGTCATAGGAAATTTTGTTGTAAGTCGTATGGTAAATGATACTCAAAGAAATGTACTAAGAATACACCAAACATTCGCTTCCAGCACTACGGAAGCCTGATAAGACGGGGTGCTGATAAATCCTCAAACTGAAAGTCGCTTAATTTTCTGCCCGCAAAAATGGTTATCCACGAAATTAAACTCTCGCAAGCATCTAATGTCACAAGGTATTTCACCACTTAATTAATTTTGGTACATCACACGTGATTATCAAAAGAGCATCATGGTAACTGCTGACCGAATTGTCACAAACAGTTACATTAAATTTAGGCCCGCAAGTTTCAAAGGATTCTTTCACCTGTTTACTACTTTAACGGTAACTTTAGTTTCTAAAAGTTAGTAACAGCTAGAACGTTTTCGCAAGTACAGTGAAACCTCTATTGAGCGGCCCCCCAATTAAGCAGACACCCTCTATTAAGCGGACACTAAGCCGGGTCTCGAGACGAGCGTCTTAGGTTTCCATTTATAACGAACCCCTATTCAGCGGACACCTCTATTAAGCGGTCAAAGACACTAAAATAAATTGTATCTGGTTAATTTCTATTGTTAAAAACCTCTATTAAGCGCCCACCGGACTGAATTGAGAATAGTAGTATTGGATTACGTCCTTGAAATACGTGTTGAAGTCAGTTAATGTTCTTTGCATTTACAAACAAATTAAAGTTGGTAATGAAGGGTAATGAACTTGAATTCTGATAGCAGTTCTTTAACAGCAGGAACTTTATCACAGTACAGAGTAACAGTTGACTGTTGATCGTTCTGAAGGTGTCCGCTTAATAGAGGATTCACTGTAATTCATTTCTTCCTTTTTTGGTCTATTTCTCAGGTACTTAACCTTTTTCTGGCTCTTCTTTTGAACGCTTTTGATAACGGTGATGAGGATGATGAAGAAGAGGAAAATGACGATGACAACGAAGAACCCATATTTAAAAAATTCCTCGCTAAGTTAACTCAGACAAAGAAAACAGTGATCTCGGTAACTGATTTCTCTTTTCGTCCTGAAACTTGCTCTTCTTCGCAAGACATACAAACGATTGTAAAAGACAACGAAGGCAAGAACTCAGGGAAATCTGCCTGTAAAACAGTAGGTATGTAATATTTATTGTACCATATCTTTGTTGAGGTTTTAAGTAGTATAGTGGGAATGAAATATATCCGTTTTTTGCGGTGGAATACTATGCATTAAGGCTGCCGATAAACTTGTATAATAAAACTAATCCTATAATGAAACAGCTACCGGATTCTTAACTCCTTACTGTTACATGTCCCTTGCTTGTTATGTAATTGCAACCATGATAGTACAGCCTAATCACTGCGTTGCTGTTTGATTCTGACACTTTTTAAGTTCAATGAAGTGGAGGAAATTGAAACTAGGAAATTCTGGAGCTAAACCTTCGTTTGGAAACAAGGTGGGCGTTGCTCCTATGCTCCAGAGTACTGCAGGTCCTTTGGATTATGTCACGCTAAAAGTTTTCTCTCTCAAGTAAGAGAAAAGTACCTTTTGTAGTTCACCTATCTGCTGATCAATGTGGAACCCCAATCATCATATTGCAAAACAAGCAACATCATTGAATTCAGTCTGTATATGTGCTGTATTTCAGTTAACATTAACCCCGGAAGTCGTCAAATACAAGACCTATCACAGGCCGCAGAAGTTGAGGACTGTTTTCCAGAATGCTGTGTTTCTCTTCTCACCAGCTCTGCCTGTTGTAAGACTTTTAGGTGTGACAGGTGGCTGAAGTTTCGCTGGCGCACGCGAATGCTGGTGGAGCACAGATACTTTGAGTGGTTTATTCTTTTCACTGTGCTGTTAAGTAGTTTTGTATTGGTAAGTGACTTTCCTAGTAGACTCATCATGTTTTCATGTCATTTTTTAAAGCTATTTTACCATCTCGCATTCTGATTCTCTGCCAAATTAGCGACAACTGCAAAATTCACAACTCTCCTCTCCCCTGCCTGCCCAACCTTGAATTGACTTGATATTAAAAAGCCGTACTATTTTGTATCTTTTGCCTCAAGGTCTTTGAAGATGTAAACCTTCCGAGCAAGCCCATGCTTGAAAAAGTGCTGGATGCCTTGAATTATCTGTTTGCTTTTACCTTCGCTGTAGAGTTTGTTCTTAAAATTATTGGCTTGGGAATAGTTAGCTATTTTTCTTCTTGCTGGAATTGCCTGGATGCGCTGATAGTTGTGGTAAGTGCTGCTGTCTTTCAGTATCCTTTACAGCAAGTGTTTATTACAAATAGGACAAAGATATGTAGATTCCCTCATTAATTAAGTGTGAGGACTATGCGTGGCGACCACCTGATCTAATCAGCTTGATGAGCCGACCATTTTTTGGCCTCAGTATTTGAGATAAGCCCTCAATGTTTTGGGTGAGAGAAGCTTGTATCGCCAAAATTAAGAAGAACAGTCTTAACTTTTTCTCAGTAGCTTTATTTACAATGTGGTAAGTACTTGATAAAGTGTCGTCCTTAGCGGGATAAGTGTAGTTTCCACTGAACGAGATTGATTTCTAGACTGGACTAGATTTACATGTCTGCCTAGTGCATAATCAACTGCGGGCTCTAACAATTTGACATCGGAATAAACATTTATCAGCCATACTATCTGCTTCTTCTTCTTTTGAATTCAATTTCAGATTTCACTAGTTTGCGTGTTTNTCAAGGTCTTTGAAGATGTAAACCTTCCGAGCAAGCCCATGCTTGAAAAAGTGCTGGATGCCTTGAATTATCTGTTTGCTTTTACCTTCGCTGTAGAGTTTGTTCTTAAAATTATTGGCTTGGGAATAGTTAGCTATTTTTCTTCTTGCTGGAATTGCCTGGATGCGCTGATAGTTGTGGTAAGTGCTGCTGTCTTTCAGTATCCTTTACAGCAAGTGTTTATTACAAATAGGACAAAGATATGTAGATTCCCTCATTAATTAAGTGTGAGGACTATGCGTGGCGACCACCTGATCTAATCAGCTTGATGAGCCGACCATTTTTTGGCCTCAGTATTTGAGATAAGCCCTCAATGTTTTGGGTGAGAGAAGCTTGTATCGCCAAAATTAAGAAGAACAGTCTTAACTTTTTCTCAGTAGCTTTATTTACAATGTGGTAAGTACTTGATAAAGTGTCGTCCTTAGCGGGATAAGTGTAGTTTCCACTGAACGAGATTGATTTCTAGACTGGACTAGATTTACATGTCTGCCTAGTGCATAATCAACTGCGGGCTCTAACAATTTGACATCGGAATAAACATTTATCAGCCATACTATCTGCTTCTTCTTCTTTTGAATTCAATTTCAGATTTCACTAGTTTGCGTGTTTCTAGACACCGATTTAACATTCGTTCGCTCCTTACGAACAGTAAGAGCTTTGAGACCTTTAAGAGCAGTGTCTCGCTTGGAAGGTATGAAGGTAAGACTGACCTGCGTCGTAGAGTAGGAATAAAACTAATCATTTGAGGCTTCGCGAGAGACTGAGTCGGGTGTTGCGTCAAATTATACTATGAGAGTGTTTCTGGGATGAATTTGGACCCAGTTTCTACCCAAATGTCCCCAAAATAGTCGTAGACAGTCAACATTCTCTACTTGCTTGAGCGAAACATAAAAGTAACCACTATAAACATTTCAGAAAGGTTTAAGTAACATAGCAATTAGAGAAGAAGGATCAGAGGAACAAAATCAAAAACGATTAATCCATAGAGGTTCTGTTGAATTTTATCGATGAATCATAGCCTAAGAGTTTTTAGAAGTTGTTGTTTGTAATTTTAAGTATCGCTCGGGAGACACTTGTTCGTCATGAAGCTGTAATTCTGTAGTTTACAGGTAACATTTTCGTTAACGTCAAGTTCCATAGCGAGTTTCAGAGTGAGTTATTGGCAAAAGATGACGGAATGGACTAGATTTCCGTAACACACCCCTTAGTTCCCCACCGTGGGCAAGTCCTGCAGCGTTTCATTGGTAATTAAACTCCTAAGCACGAGGCCATGACTTTGATTAGAAACCTTCACCCCTCAGCTAATCAACTTTTTTTTCTTCTTTAAGGTAGTGGTAAATGCGCTATTTTCCGCCATCCCAGGAATCGGCAACGTCCTGTTGGTGTCTATCTTGTTCTGGTTAATATTCAGTATTCTAGGCGTTCAGCTTTTTGCGGGAAAGTTCTACAAATGTGTGGACCCGGACGGCGAGCGTGCATCGGCAGATGTTGTGCCTAACAAAACAGAGTGCCTCAAACGTCCAGGTTATCGATGGATAAATTCAAATGTAAACTTTGATAACGTCATTAACGGATTCTTGGCTTTATTTCAAGTAGTAAGTATTCAAGCACTACTTTCG